CTGCATCTTCTTCTCCCAGACATAGAAGCCGCTGGAGCCCCCGGGGGGCCCGGAGGGCGCCTGCCAGAGCCGCTGCCGCCTCTGCGCGGACGGGGCACTCGGACTTAGCTTCCCCTTTTTGGTAGTGTTAAGTCGGGCCTGTCCCTCTACAGGGGGAACATTCAAAAATAATCAAAAAAAGTCTGGGGACTATCTTTTTAAGTATTTCGGAGCATCTTTGGGGCATTTTTGGAATATGCCTAGTTTTCGTCCAAAACCCCCCGGTAGGGGGACAGGCCCGACCGAATGTTAGTTCTGAGATTCTGGGAGGCCAGACCCTGCCCGCGCACGGAGGGCGGGCGCGGCGGCCCCATCGGGCACGCGCGAGGAGAAGACTTCGGCATCCCGTCTACGCATGCTCTCGAGCACGAGCGGGCGCAAGAAGCGGCCCGCCGGCGGCGGGAGGTCGGCGCAGGACGCAGGGCGCCGACCACGCACCCGCACCCCTCCCTGCAGCAGCTGCTCGGCGGCCCCGGGGCCCGAGGAGGGCCCCGAGGGGGGCCACACGCCCGAGGGACCCTGGGCAAGGACGGCGTGTGGAGGCACCAACTGTACACCAACACCGATCCTGGCCAGGATCACCCTGGGCCCAGGATCGGTGTATACGCCCTCCTGCCTTGCGCAAGAAGGCATATACACCGATCCTGGGCCCAGGGTGATCCTGGGCCAGGATCGGTGTTGGTGTATAGTTGGTGCCCTCCGATACGGGGGCCAAAGTGCACACGCGCAGACATGTGCTGGGGGTGTCCCCGAGCCCAAGACAGGGGCGGAGGCACCGAAAGACCTCACGCGGCCATCCTCCTCCTCGCTCACTCGCTCGCCCCGCCTCGTGAAACAGATCGAACCACCCGTGCTCCGGCAAAGTCAGAGGCAAAGTTCGAAGGGCGCGCGGCATTCAGCGCCAGGTCCGTCGCGCATGGCCGCGCGCACAGGGGAGCACCAGGAGACTTGAAACAGACATGGCTGGACCCCATGCGGAACATCCAGAAGCCACGCGCTGGATACACGTGCGGAGGGCCAGCGTGCATGGCCCTACGAGGGCGAAGCGCTGGGAACACACGCGCGGCAGCGTGCACCCTGCTCGCGCCGAGGCTGCCCGAGCAGTGTGCACCCGGCCCCCTGGCGGAATAGGAGGGCAGGCAGCACGCCGGGCATGACCCCAGACATGCGACGTCCTGGTTTTTTCGGGACGGCGTCACCAGAAGTCCCGAGCCCTTCCCCGGGGCCGGTTTTTCGTCCTGCGTCGTTTTTGGACATCCCCAGGGCCCGGCGAGGGCCCCCAGGGGCCGAAAATAGCGCAAAACTGGCCGTCCGTATTTTGTCGCAACGCGATCCTGCCTGGGACGAGGACCTCCCCCTCCTCGGCGGCGGCCGAGGCGAAGCCCACCCTCATATCTCAGGGACTTCCGCCGCGTCGGGCTCGACCCCACCGCTGCCCGGCATGGCCGGGCGCGTATCCGCGGGCGGCCCTAGGCCGGCCCGCGAAGGCGCGCCGCCCGGCGCCGGGCTGCGGGAGCGGCTCTCGTGACGGCGGGTGTCTGACCCTGGCGAGGGGCGATGATGATGGGCATGTTTTCCACCACCAACACCACCATAAGTTGGAGGGGGGAAAGAAGGAGGAGGAGGAGGACGAGGAGGAGGAGGAGAAGGTGGAGGAGGAGGAGGAGGAGGAGGACGAAAGGAGGAGGAGGAGGAAAAGGAGGAGGAGGAGGAGGAGGTGGAGGAGGATCCCCTCCATCTCCAAGTTATGGTGGTGGTGGTGGGAAGCAGGGCCCATCAGATGACGATGGCCATCCCAGATCCGACGCTCCGACAAAACTGGAGCGGGGGGGTTTTGACCGTGTTCGGCCTCTGGGAGCCCTCGCCGGGCCTCGGGAGCGTCAAAAAACGGCCCGGGACGCAAAACCGGCCCTAGCGAAGTGGTCCAGACGTCCGGGGCCCACGCATCGAAAAATGGTAGAGCAGACGGATGCCTGGGATGGTGACCGCGACGGTGGTTATGATGATGGAGGTGGTGATGATTGTGGCGGTGATTATGGTGTTGGTGGGGACGGTGGTGACGATGAGGAAGAAGGGAAGGTTTAACCATGGCCCTGGCGCAGACCTGTGCTCGGCACTCGTAGCCCACGCTTGGGGCGGATTGCTTTCGATCCCGGCGTTTTTTCCTCCATTTCTGCTGCGCCGCGACCATCGGAAATGGATCTAGGCCAAAAAGCTGCGCCGGGGAAAGGGGTCGAGAATTCTGGGACCTGCGGATGGGAAAAATCTGAGAAGGTATGCCGACGGCGATTGAAGGCGTCAACACACCGACACGCCAGAACAGAAACCGGCGCGTGTCAACATCGAGATGGGGTGAGCTTCTGCAGCTCGAAGTTTTTTGGAGCGCCGACACTAAGAGAGCGCCGAACGAGATCGGAAGCACCGAAGCTCGTCGCGCTCAAAGGATGAGGAAGAGGACGGTGACGAGGACGACAATGACGATGCCGCTGCCGATGACGACGTTGACGCCGACGAAAATGCCGACGTCGACGCCGACGACGACGACGACGTCGACGACGACGATGACGACGACGTCGACGACGACAGCGACGAGAACGACGACGACCACAGCGAAGGCACACTTCTCCTGGTGACACTGATCTATACTGGACAATGAAAATCATAGCGCCTATGCGCGCCGATCCCAAATTGAAAGCTCTATCCGCCAACGCAACCTTCAGCAAGTGAGGGAACGTTGCGCTGCCAGATGCTAACTGGTAGGGTTTTTGTTTGCTACGGGCGACCCCCCCTGCCCCCAGGAGCATGCCCCCCATAGGTCTGAGGAGCTTCCCCGGGGCATCCGGAATGCTCCAGAAGACCCCGGATCCCCTCAACAATAAACAAGAAAATGTTCGAACGATCCCCGCTAAGAAGCGTCTATTTAGCAAGCTGCCTGCTGCTAACGTATCTCATTGGTGCATGTCATTGATCTGCATTGTTAACGCCTGACGCTTGCGTCAGTGTTTGGCGTCTGCGTGTTTATCACTGTTCGTGGCGTATGGCATTGATGTTTGACTTCTGTGCGTTTTTGACATCTGCTCTGGGCATCTGCTATTGATTTGCATTAGCGGTTTTTGTATATGTTATTGGTGACGGCGACGACCCTGTACTCAGAACGCATGTTATGGATCTGGATTACTGACCCATGTTTTGGCGCAGGATTGATGCAGCTTGCTGAAACATGTGTTCGGAATGTTTGGGTATGTTTCTGGTGCGTGTGTTCTGTGTTATTGTTCGTTGTCTCCGATATTGGCGTATGAGTTTGGTGCAGAGGATGTGCATGTTGGGCGTGTGCCATTTTTTGCCAGTTCACACTGACCTCGTTAGAGTTTGTGTGACAAGGTGATCTGCCCTTCAGGGCAGAGCAGCGCAGAGAGCCCTCCAGAGCCATGCGCCTCGAATTCGGGGGCCCCATCCCCCAGACGCAAACGCACACAAAAACACATAATGCGTCGGGCCTCCTAAAAGAAGTCTCACCCGTCGCAATAGCCTCCACGCCTCAGCAACAGAACGACGCCTGCGTGATGTGGCTCGCATCCGAGCGTGCATCTGCTGAGACACACTGCCCGACGACAGCTGGTGGCGGCGACAGTTCTGAGCAAACATACAAGCATCCAGCATTGCAGCAGTTTGAAGCAGCACCGTGCGAGGTCGTTCAGTGGTCGGAAGCAGGGAGAATAGCCAAGGCAGGAATTCGGAGAAGGGGGGCTTCAGTTCTCCCAGCCAAGATCGTCTAGATCAGAGAGAGAGAGGGGTCGTGAGCATCAACGCAGCAACCGAATAGACAGGCATGAGACTGAGAGCGAAATCTGGAAGACGCGTTCAAGCCTCTGGAAAATATACGCGAAAATGTCAATCCAAGGTACGGCCCTGTCTTCCGAGTTACAAACTTGACAGCCTTCGAAACCTTCTCTGCGGCACCTTCTGGAACCCCACCCATCCACCCCCTGATCCTGATCACCAGGTCGACCTTGGCATCCTGGGAGAAGCCAGGCGAGGCAGCAAGCACACGGTAGACGGCGGCCTGGAAGAGCTTTCCCTCCACAGGGATGCCCTTGGGAGACGCCAGCCAGTGGGATGCCTCGAACTTTTCGATTTGTGGCCAAAAGTGCAGGGCGAAACTCACACTGGCCCAGCCTGACGACGCGCGAACAATACAGGCGTCATCTTGCAGGTCGCCGGGGGGGCAGCGTTGTGTCCAGGGCCAGATCCCCGCACGCTCGGCGGGCGCGATTGATCGGTCAACAGCATTCCTTCCAGCCGCCCTTCGCGAGAAGCTCTGATTTCAGGTTTGCTCTTGCCGACGATTGGGCTGCTCATGCTTGCTCTTGCCTACAAAAGAATTGCCCTCTCCCCCATCGCCCCAGAAACACCGATCGCGTTCGCTGCCCCTCAGCGAGCTTCAAGCGTCACCACTCTTAAATACCCTTTCCGAGTCTTCTAAGATCTCCCAAATTTCCGAGCACCGCGAAACCAGCCTGAACTTCGTTGCCCAAGACACGGCTTCCAGGTTTTTTATAATTACTTGGGAATCCCAGGGAGGTAAGGTTCGTCAACATCTCACAGTTAAAACTGAGACGCGGACAGACAACCAGGATCTGCAGAGCATCCTTACACGCCGCACACACACACACACACACACATCACGCGAGACAGGAGCGAACTGCATGACGAAGGACAGAATACTGAGGCAGAGGGCGTGGAACGTCGGGATATTCTTGGCAAAAGTGAGGCCAGCCTTGCGCACCTCTCTCACGCGGGGAGCGAACTTTGCAACCGGCTTCGGCCAGCAGCATTCGCGAGCTGAGTAACCGATCATCATGCACGCGTACTTACACGAGAGGACGACCTGGATCTGTATCAGCTCAGGAATATGCTCCGCGATATACTGCTTCAGCCGAGCTTGAAATACAGAAGAGTGAACGAGCAGCAGGTACTTGTGGATATCCAACGCCAGGCCAACAGCGGCCTCAAGAGACTGAAACACTTTAAACAGGTGGCCAAGGTGGGCAATCGCACTACGAGTACCACACGCGCAGTCACCAGCAAACTCAAGCTTGAGAAGTAGATGTTCCCAGCAGTGCTTACTGATCTACATCTGGAGCGGAGCAGTTCCCAAACAGAAAAAAATCATAGAGGCGGGGCCCCCCTGCCGAACCCCTCTAGCAACATCAATCGCAGCATAGACCTTACCCATAATAGAAGTCAAAACAATATTATCATGATGAAACAGACGGTAGAAATGCACAGTAATTCTCGGGGCCCCATCTCTTCCAAGACCGCCAGAAACCAATCAATCGAGATCGAGGGGAAGGCGGCAGAGTAGCCCGCCAGGACCAGCGAGCTATCTTCCTTGTCTAAGACGTGCTCTGAGAGCGCGCATGACCCAGCACGCCCAATATGCGAAGCCATGCTGCGGCCAGAGAAACAAGCTTGCGAAAGACAGACCACGTGCTGGGCCTCTTCGTTCACAGGACGGCACACGCACGAGTGCAAGAGCTTTGCGTCTGCGTTCGCCATGGAAAAATGGACGTGCCTTTTCCTACAGACATGGGCCCCAACATCATCTTTCGAGTTCCCCCTCGGCGGGAAAACCTTGAGAACCTCCAACATATCCCGAGGAAGAGAATCAACCTGTCCAAAAACCAGGTCTCGATAAAAATCGAAGAAAACACATGCGGGGCATCTCCAAGGCGCCAACAATGGTAAGGGATCCCATCAGGCCCAGGCATACTATGCTTACGAGCCGTTACAATGTCACAGAGGAACGTCTCATAGTCCACTTCCCAAGGCACACCAGCACCCCTGGGCGCCTGTCGGACAAAAGATAGTAACTCGAGCAACCTGGAGCGGCCTTCATGCATCTCACAGAAGACGCCTCCACAATGGAGCCCCAGGGCCTCGGCAGAGGCCTCCGGGGAAGGGCGCGGGTTGTTATGTTCGCCAACCACTCCTTGAAGCCAAGTTCGACGACGGAATTGCCACCAAAAGCTTCGTCGCCGTGCAATGTGTTCCTCCTCCTTCTGCCGCTGGAAGGCATGACGAAGGAGACTATCCAGCCCCATCGTCTCCGCATCATGAATCTTCGTATACAGTTCGCGGACGCGCTGGCAGAGAGGAAACAGATCAGTACATTCAAGAGTAGCGTCATCGATATATACCGAACGCTTGGGATAACAGATCAGAGCATCATCGATCATTTTCGCACTCTGCAGCCGAAGGCCTCGGAAAGCAGCCATAGACCAATGATGGCACATCTCGCACGTGCTGGATTCTCGAAATTTGATACGTCGGCGCGCGCGTGTCGCCGCAGAATGCATGCAGGATTTGATTCAGGCCAAACGCGCAGCACTCTCTTCAGCACAGGGGGGGTAAGCATGAGCCCACCCAGCTCATCAGCAAACTCAGGGGGCTTAGCTAGCCATAGCGGTATATTCTGGCACTCCGACTGGTCGGGGGGGCACCTCGAGATATTCGACCTAAA